GACGCGGGCTGCAGGCGGTCCAAAATGGGGGAAGGTATACGGCCTTCCTACTAAGACATTCCATCGCTATAGGTGTGGAATGCAAGGAATAGGGACTTCCTCGCAAGCCGAGCAACTTGATGGGGAGAGCCTCTCCGCTATGCGGGAGACTGTGGCAAAGCTCACATCCGAGCTAGAAGCGTCCAAGGAAAGAGAAAAGCTTAGAGATGCTCAGTACATTGGCGTGGTCGCTCAGTGCCAGGGCATGCAAGAGCAGATCAAAAATCTCCTAGCTGGATCTTTTTCGATTCCCCGGTCTCGGCCATCATCGCCAGAGGCTGCCCATCCCCGTGCTCGTTCGTCCCGTCCTCCAAGTGGCCGTTCCTCCCGTCCTCCCCGTGATCATTCTTCCCATCATCGACAAATAGACCCTTCTCAATACCGTGATGATGATGAAACTTCATCAGAGGGTGATGATAATGATGTACCAAACAATCAATGAATTTTAGACAATTTGAACTAGACAAATACAATTTGTTTTCCATTGGGTTGTAATAAAAGTTAACTTAGTTTGGTAGTTCTATTGAAATTTACACTTTCTTGGTTTTAATGTAGCTTTTAATGTTGTTTTTGTGTTGTTGTGTTGTTGGGTTGTTGTTTGGTATTCTTATTGGAATTGTTGTTTGAATTGTTGTTGTTGTTGCTTGTTAGGGTTTTGGTATGACTGGCAGGTGGTGTAGCTGCCAAAACAGGCAGTTTCTGCCAAAATAATACACAGAAAAGCGACCAACATTGGTCTCTATTTGGTCGCTTTTCACGTTCAAAAAAAATAAATTTCTGGAGAATAGCGACCAACGTTGGTCGCTACTTACCCAGATTTCTACAAAAAGCGACCAAACTTGGTCGCTATTTCGTTAAAAATATAAAATTTCTGGTGATATAGCGACCAACGTTGGTCGCTAAAGTACAAAAAATAAATTAAATTCATGTATTTAGGGACCAAAGTTGGTCGCTAGTTTAATAAAATATATAAATTATTGAATAAAAAAGCGACCAACCTTGGTCTCTAGTTTCCAGATTTTAAAATATAATATTTGGGTTAGAGATCAAAGTTGGTCGCTTCTTAATGATTAATAATAAATAAATAAATAAAGTATTTTATATTTAGAGACCAACTTTGGTCGCCAAATTTATATTATTAAATTAATAAAGCGACCAAAGTTGGTCTCTATAGTCAATATTCGGAATATTTGGTCCATTTAGCTTAGAGACCAATGTTGGTCGCTAATTAGCGACCAAGTTTGGTCCCTAAATAAAAGAGACCATCAATTTAGCGACCAGGCATGTTTGGTTGCTTTTGGGCCTATAAGCGATCAACTTTGGTCGCTTTTTGTGGTCGCTTTTTACCGAATTTCTAGTAGTGACATGAGAAGAGATATATTGCTAATGTCATTGCATTTTGGGGAAGACTCAAACTTTAGGGCGGTCAACTTATGTCTCCCTTGATTGGATAGTGAGAATCCGTGTCTTATGGATTATTATGTTAAATCATCTTTGCACAATACGGTCAACATTCAAAAAGATATACATATATCCATTTATGCTTAAAGAATATAGGGATATATAGACTTCTTGACAATTACCTCTTGTCTTTTTGACATGCCATTTCTTGAGTCCTGGCCGTGCATTAATAGAAGATATATAACTAGTCTCTTCTAAACTTTATTCTAGTCTTATCTTATAGGGGAAATTGCACCCATAAAAGATGGGACATCCTCTTCCTTTTAACTTAATTTGATTGTTTTGGGGTCTGATCATAATTTTGATACCTTTCATTAAATTAAGATAAGATAAGATCACATGGTCTTCTCCAGCTAATGCATTGAATCAGACTATCAAGGATCAACGAAGTGCCAAGTTTATCATTTTAAGATATGAGTTGGATATAGATTAGTAAGATAAAGGCTATTTAAGCCCTGTTTCTGATGAGTTTCTCTAGTACCCTATCCATTCCACTAATTAGACTTCTATAATTTCAGCAGCCTAATCAGAAAAATTACAGTCTAAGTAACTTAGACTTAGATAGTTAGATACAACTTCTATTGATCGATCCTTATGTTCTGTCCATGTCATTTGACAGCTATCCACTTTTTAAGAATTTTCTCAAAGCTAGCTAAGTTGATGGTATTGGAGAGGGTGCTGAGGCGTGAAATTAATCAGGGATTGCTCAATTTCTATGGTTCTCTGTCTCTTTAGAAGAACTTTAATTAGATGTGAAAGAGAAGGTTGTTCTAACATTATAAGCATAAAGGCTAGTTATACTCCATGGCGGAACCGGGATTTTTGCTCAGAGGTATCAAAATATTAAAAAAGTAAACACACAGCGAAGTCAGGGATGTCATATATCCATTGAAAATGTTACCAAGTCACACCGTGTAATTTTATCGACAATGGGTGTCAGTTGACACCCCTTTAGATAAGGTGCTCCGCCACACTTATACAAACCACGGATAAATATTGAAACCGTAGATCTCCATGCCAAAATAATTAGCACTGATTCTCTATCAGTGCAATTTAATTAATTATAATAAGTTCTCAATTTAATCGGTATAAATAGTTACATATTGTTATTATAGGTCAATTTTATACTTAATTAATGTCCTAATGTGTCAGTGTTGAGCTCTACTACCTTTGAATAGGTCGTCAATTTAGGAAACGCAACTAACCACAGTGAAAATCTTTTCTCAGCAGCATATACTCGGTGCGTCAAAAGAACTTTCTAATTAAGATAAAGAGAACTTATATTTCATTAGTTTCATTGCAGGCTAAATATATTTCCAGTGAATTAGGCAAATGATACATAAATGAAAGTTTCCAAATAAACCATCATAATACCAAAAGGATTTAGTAAGATAAGAATTTAGGGATCAATCAAATTAGAGCTACTAGATGGAAAAGATCATGGCAAAGGCATATACTTGCTTTTATCATGATTACCACTATATAGAGAGGACTAGCAAAAACTAATCAAACATAAAGTGGTGGCCTAATAGGTAGAAATTTTACTTGTAAATATTGTTCAACCAAATAAAGTTGGAATCCAACTCATTATTCACATCCAATTAATTAGTTGGTTGTTGCACTCATCTTTTTTCATTCTCTGGTGTTCATATCAAAGAGTCACAACGCACAAGGTTCGCCACAAAACGACTATTGTTTCTTCTCTTTGATGATGAGATTCCCAAAAGCTGCTCAACCTTTTTCTGTATGCCAAACACCACCAATTTTCAGAATATAATGCTAAAATGCCTTTCCACTTGTCATTCTATTAGCATGTAAGCTGACATGCAAGAACATTGTGAACATGCCCAAAACAAAAATTCAACTTATACTACACATCAACAATGTTAAAGAAGTTCTAATTTAAACTGTATCTCAATTTGTTGTTATAGATAAGTAATTTGTTTGTTTAGTTACGAATTCCATTTTATTGGATGACTACTTGTAGTTAGTTATCTCTCTAGTCTACATCACATCTCATGGGGTGTCATTCTTTCTTCGAACCATGCATGAATACATAATATTTCATGCATCGTGCTGTCCTTTTAGCCGTGTGCTTTCAGCATTTCTTATCATACTTAATACTTTTAGTGACATCATCACAGTAACATTGACGCTAAAATTGGTAGTACTCCCTCTGTTCCCGTTTATGTGAACCTATTTCCTTTTTGGTCCGTTCCAAAAAGAATGAACCCTTTCTAAATTTGATAACAATTTAGCTTAAAGCTACAACTCTACCCTTAATGAGAAGCTTTTATAACCACACAAATACTCTGGGCCCCATTTGAACTTGTTTAGGACCACAAATTCCAAAAGTTTTCATTTTTTTTTTAAATTTCGTGCCCAGTCAAACAAGTTCACATAAATTGGAACAGATGGAGTATTAGATACGGATAAGAGGGGATGACGTAGTGTTCTAATGTTAGGGCCATGATCAATCTAGGATTTGACAAGAGTCTATTTGTGGGTGCTGGTATAAAGTGGCAAATCACTAGCAAACCCCTCCTCCAAGCAGGCCACATAATTGGTTAATTCACCCGAAATCTAATTTAATAAATCTAGCTAGCTAGTTATTGCTTCAGTTGCTGTTCCTATTCACATGTCATATATGATATATTGTTCGAATTAATTATGCCAAGTGCCAACATGTCATTGGCCAGTCGACACCTTTTTATTATTTTATAGATCACTACTTCGACCGAGTTCTTTCGGTTTCCCCCTATTTTATTATGTGTATTAAAAAGTTCGTTGAATATATATATATATAAAAATTATTTAATCAAAATCCAGTAAGTTGTCAAGAGAACCTATCAAAATGTGTTCTATTCCCTTCCCTCTTGTGACCTTATCTGTTTCTCAAGTGTTTCCATGTTATGCAATCCTTTTAAAGAAATATTTACCATTTGTAATTTACTTTTAACTCAAAAGATCTAAAGCTTGGTAACTTACGCAAATGAGCGCGGATGACTCTTGTCCTAGCCATTTTTTTTTTTTTTTTTTTTTGTGGTAGAAAAGCGTTAAAGTAATATTAGTAAATACTAATATTATCATGACAAAATGAATGTCCTTGCAGCTTAATTGTTCATGCCTCCTGTGTTGCAATTGAATTGACGCTATTGAGGCAGACAAATTAGGAACTATTTTGTATTATACCGAGTGTTAGAGCCAAGTTATAGTAACACTTTTGGACATTTGCTCACGTGATTAGTGATCCAACAACCCACACATTAAAATGGAGACTCCACTAATCACCCTTTTTCATGCAAAGGAATTAAGCTCTAGAAAAACCTGCCTAAAAATCTAAGTCAGATGCCATACGCTTGAGATTAATTTCTAATTTGAAACATAAGTTTGGTACGTTTGGGTTTCTAAAATTCACACCTTATAGATAATGGGTTTGTTCATAAAGTGCTTTGCCACAACTATAAATAGATAGGTGCGTCGTCGTGTACTTGCACTCTTAACTTACTCTCTTGTCTCCAGATTGGTGTCTTATTTAGCTCAATCCAAATGGATATCGTATCAAAGATTATGTTTTCCAAATATTCTCTGCTTATTATTATTTCCTTATTTATTTTGGAGCCATTAGAAGTTGTTGGACGTTCTTATCAATTGTTCAATAACAAAAAGTCTGATTCTTCATTGGGCAGTCAGGATCTTGTCACTGATTTGCCAGGACAACCTAGTGTAAACTTCAGACATTATGCTGGACATGTGACAGTAAATGAGAACAATGGAAGAGCACTCTTCTACTGGTTCTATGAATGCTCAATTGCACCTGAGGACAAACCTTTAGTGCTTTGGCTTAATGGAGGTAAGACAAATTAAATTAAATAAATTGATAACCTACATCATTTGCAGTCTGCTATAGTGGATAGAGTACTTAAATATATGAACTTTTGGTTTCTTTAAGATGGTTTCTCGGACATGCCAACTTTGCATGGTAACACCTATCTACTAAAGAAGATGTTATGGTATCTAAAAAAGTATATCTTAAGCATACGTTTTATCTACTATTGAATTTGAACCAATGAATCTCTCGAGCACAGGTTATGGTTGGACCTCAATGAGAAAATAAAATTTTGGAAATCCCATAAAGATTATGACCTGGATCAGATCGATCCTTTTTGTAGGCTCGTAACTTCGGGAGAAGAGGTGTTTATCAAAAACACAAATCTCCGCAAAGTCGTAAGACCATGCATTGAGTTGAGAAATGGATATTTGATGGTAACCAAATCTTTTGACCACTCTCAACATATTCAAGCTTGGTATACGAGATAAATAAATTGTCTTTGACTGAAAAGAAGTTTGGAAAAGAAGAGAAGAGATTTGTTATCAATGTCTTTATACTCATTGCCTTTAGAAAGTCCACTATTCAGACAATATTTGGGAGTAGCTTTATCGATTGTCACTAAAATATAGATATCCAACAAAAGCGTTCACATTTGAACCAATAAATATAGCATTGACATTAAGGAGATATGACCCTTTTTTTTTCTTTCTTTCATTTCATATTAGTAAATTATTATATTTGGTCTTTTCTGATATGAGCTGCACGATGTTTCAGGTCCAGGATGCTCTTCAGTGGGATATGGAGCAACTCAAGAGATAGGGCCTTTTCTTGTGGACTCTGATGGTTTTGGCCTAACACTTAATCCTTATTCATGGAACAAAGGTTTGATCTTTATTATACTATCCTATAAACTATTTCACATGCATGCATTTCTGCTTGAAATCATTTTCAATAATCTAAATTATAATGAAGCAGAAGCAAACTTGTTGTTCTTGGAATCTCCAATTGGTGTTGGCTTTTCTTACTCAAATACAAGTGGTGATTATCATAACATTGGAGATGATTTCACAGGTGAGATTCATGATTCATTTGCCATGCCTTCCCATTACTCCTTTTCTCAACAATATCTGTCATCTTTCAAAATGATATCTCTATTTTTTCAGAAATATCTTCTGTGATATTGATATTTTGTCTTAATTACTAATTTTCAGTTATCTGTCATCTTCCATAAGTGTATGCTCATTTATTTATTCCTCAAGAAATATCTTGCATGATGTTGATATTTTGTCATATTTCTAATTTTAATTCGTCCTTTTTCATCTAACATTTTCTGGACTATTTTACCAGCCAATGACACGTACACTTTTCTGCACAACTGGTTTCTCAAGTTCCCATCATATAGAAAACGGGCCTTTTATATTGCTGGAGAGAGTTATGCAGGTAATTTTTATATATATATCTTCTACCAGCTGAGACAACTAACATAACTGTAAAAAATTTCTGCACCTGCTTATATTTTTCATGGTTCTATTGGCAGGAAAATATGTACCTGAGTTGGCTGAAGTCATTGTTGACAAGAACAAAGACTCTTCCCTTTTCATTGATCTAAAAGGAATCCTGGTATATATATATATATATATATATGGTCCTTCTACACCTATTTTCAGTTGATAAATGAATTTAACTTAATAAAAATGCTGTTATATGTGCAGCTGGGTAACCCTGAAACTTGTGATGCAGAGGACTGGAAGGGTCTAGTGGATTATGCTTGGAGTCATGCTGTCATATCTGATGAAACTCACAAAACTATTTCAGATTCCTGTGATTTTAACAGTGATGACACGTGGAGCAATCAGACTTGTAGTCAGGCTGTAGATGAAGTGCTTAAACAGTACAAGGAGATTGATATCTACAGCCTCTACACTTCAGTCTGCATAAGAGATACTGCTAGTTCACAACAGCAAACTCAAGTCTTATTTGATAGCAAGTCCAAGATGGTAACTCAATATTTAATTGCATGAATTTGTCTATTTTACACAGTATTTAACCTCTACGATATTAGTGTATATAAATCTTTACACTATCAAGTCATCTAACGATAAACTACTGATCGATGCATGTTGTAATTAGATGCCGAGGATAATGGGAGGATATGACCCCTGTCTTGATGATTATACTGCCTCTTATTACAACAGACCTGATGTTCAAAAGGCTCTCCACGTTCACCATCTCAAGAACTGGAGCATCTGCAAGTAATGAAACTTTATTTTTAATTTAAATTCTTTGTTTTTTTAAAAGTTTTCCTAGTCCAAACATGAGTTGGAAGTCTAAAACAGAAAAAATAATTAAGAAATTTTCCTACTTGAATGTTCAGTATGTCGATCTTCGGTAATTGGTCAGACTCAATGGAATCAGTTCTTCCTATATATCACAAACTCATCGATGCTGGCCTTAAAATTTGGGTCTACAGGTATGGTATTATTCCTTAATATAATTGTAGTAGTATCATTTTTCTAATACGTTATTGGGACATGACCAAGTTTGGTGCTCCTTTATATTCTACTGCCTCTTAAGCTATATTGTGTGGCTTCATTTATAATGTTTAATTTAATAATATTGTGCTCTAATACATCATCATCCTTTTTGTCGGTTCAGCGGAGACACTGATGGAAGAGTTCCTGTATTATCCACAAGATATAGCTTAAGCGCTCTAGGTTTGCCCATTACAAGAAAATGGAGACCTTGGTACCATCAGAAACAGGTAAATATAGCTACCTCATGCTTTAATAATCATAAGCAGGGTGCCAAACGAGCGGGTCGGGTCGGATATGAGCAGGTTGAAAATAGATAATTTAAAAAGTGGAAAAATTATCTGACCTGACTCATATTTAATACGGATAAAAAACGGGTTACCCGATGGATAATATGGATATTCATATTATTCATGGCTTCTTGAATGTGATCACTTTTGGAAAAATTGTTAGTCCCTCAAACTTAAGGAACCCCTAATTTGAGGCTTTACAAATGTCAAAGTTAAACCCATTAGTTATTCATTGGTTATCCACAGTGGCAGATCCAGGATTTTAGGTTCGTGGGTGCTTAACTTTTTTTGACGTAAACCATGATATTAATATTATAGACGGCGTGAATATGTGATGGATATGGAAGGATTCGTTGTTTCTCTAAAGAAAATTTTCTTTTTCTTTTTGTGCTATAATTAATTAGATAAAGTAAGAAAATAAAAGCAAAAAAAAAAAAGATAAAACAATGTGAGAAGCAAAAGAATAAAAGTAGTATTGGCTCAAAAAAGTGCGGTTATCAAAGGATTCGTCGAAAGAAAATTTTCCTTTTCTTATGTGCTATAATTAATTAGATAAAGTAAGAAAAGAAAAGCAAAAAAAAAAAAAAAGAAGATAAAACAAAGTCAGAAGCAAAAGAATAAAAGTAGTATTGGCTGAGGAAAAACTAACGAGTGAGATTCGATTCAGAAGCAAAAGAATAAAACTAGTATTGGCTGAGGAAAAAATAACGAGTGAGATTAGATCCCACACCTTTTGGCTGTGACAGATCTCCAGCACTCATCATAAACCAAAGCACCCACCAGGCTCTTCATCACTTGGGTGCTTGGTGTTTTATTATATTCTTTTTCTTAAATTCTCTATATAACTATACATATTTCGAGTCGAGGTTAATGGGTGCTCGAGCACCCAATTTTTGTATGTAATAATCTGCCCTTGGTTATTCATCCGGTTACCTATTTTCTAAGTGGATAATATGGTACTTATCCATATTCAACCCGTTTTTAAAAATTTCATTATCCAACCCATTTTCTAGTGGATAATATGGGTGGATAGCTATTTTCTTTTAACCATTTTGCCACCTCTAATCATAAGGAATACAGAAGCGGATGCTAAGCTGACTCTATAATTTTATTCGGCTTAAATTATGTATACATATACAACAAAAGAAACTTAAAATATATGTATATAATTAAATGATGTTAATTCTGATTCTAAATTTTGGATTCGCATATATATATATTTGGTTTTTGGATTAGGTTGGTGGATGGGTTCAAGAGTACAAGGGGTTGACATTTGCTACATTTAGAGGAGCAGGGCATGCCGTTCCAACTTTCAAACCTAGTGAATCACTTGCATTCTTCACTTCATTCCTTAATGGACAATCTCTTCCTTTCCAGAGAATCTAAAGGGCCTTCTTCTGACTTTATTGATGAGACTTTTGCTCTAAGGCACTATATACATCTTTTTTGTCTTTATGTTTTACCCCTTCAAATGGGAGGGGATATTTAAAGCTAGAGGGATTAGCATATAAGCAGTATACCTACGGAGATTTGGTTTTTGAATAATGTAATGGTTTTCACATAACTATATACTATGATATATAAGAGGATATATTTTATGGCTTAAACTCCCTCCTTTATTTCTTCTTCACTTGGCACTATAACTTGTTCACTATCCATCCCTAGGAAAAAAGAAAAAATTAAATGGACAAAAACCAGAATGGGGGATTTGGCAAAGTATTCAATTGTCCTTTTGTTGTAACTATGCATGTTTGCTTTGAGCTGAGGTTCTATCAGAAACACCTCTCTACATGTACAAGGTAAGAGTAAGATTGTGTATCATCTGCCCTCCTCGAACCTCACTCGTTGAATTATATTGGCTATGTTATTATTGTAATGTTGTTAGTGTAACAGTTTTATTTGCATACTGAAGTAAGTTAAAAAAAAAATGTAAGGTTTGCAAGCTAAACTTGCTAGTCCATTGTGGCTTAATTAATTAATTCTTCCTTACTCCTTGTTTAACAACGTAAAAGAGAAGTCTTCAGCTCTCCCCTCCACTGCCCCACCTCCTCGAAAGTCTTGTTGGACTAGTTCTCGCAATGGTCTTTCATTTAATGGGCTTTTCATTGAGATCTGACGCGTTAAAATATCATGGTATAGCCAGTTTTCACACTGGTCAATGAAAAATAGCCAGCGTTTATCAAGTCAATGAAAAATAGCCACTATTTTGCTACAACAGGGACCGGTCCAGTATAATATACGGGAGTTCTGGTGCATTTGTGTACGAACTCCAGCATATTATGCTGGACCGGTATACTTTGCTAACTACTGTAAAATTTGCGGGAGACTGGAGCACCAGTGCTCCAAACTCCAGTATATTATACTGGACAATTATACTTGCTGGAACTCCCGTAAAATTTGCGGGAGTTCAAGCATACTTATGCTGGGACTCCCGTAAAATTTGCGGGCGTATTTTTCCGGATTTTGAACAGTGTTTTCGCTCAGATTTAAAGTGGCTAAATTTCGATGACTTTTGAAACTTGGCTATTTTTCAACGACCAGTGGTAAATCTGGCTATTTTTGAATTTCTCCCATACGACGCCCGTTATATTTGATCCATTAATTAAGGGAGAATGACACAATTACCCACAAAAATAAAACTATTTACCTTTGTCTATCCATTTGTTTTTCTATCCATAAACTAATTAGATTTCTTACCCATAGTAGTTTTTGTGGAGAACTTTTTCTTATTCTCTAATTCTTTTTTATTTCTATGCTTCTTTTCTTTTCTTTTTTCTTTTCTCCTTTTCTTTTTTCTCGTTTTCTTCTTATTTTTTTCTTTTTTCCTTTTCTAATTTTATTTAACTTCTTTTTGTATATTCTTTTTCTCTTCATAATCTAATTTCATTTACTGTTTTCACTATTTTTTATTATTCTTTTTTTTATATTATTATTAAAGAAAAATCAAATTGTGTACCAATTAAATGTAGCCAATATAACCAAAAAATATTAACTAACATATGATACCAGTATAGTATATAGTTATACCAACACGGTATACAATGTACGCAAAGAGTTAAAAAAATTTAATTCAATTATTAAAATGAAATAATATCAGTTGTTAATAAAAATTTTACAAAATTCTAAAAGGATCTAATTGTAAGAGTATACCGTTACATTATATAGCATACTATAATATTATTTCTTTTGGCATTTTCAACTTTCCCCTCACGCTGAGTAAAAGCTTAAAGCAAATTAAAAGGGAGAAGGCAAGTAAATTTTACGGGTAATAAGTATACTAATATAGTATATTGTATACTATTACAGCATATTGTTACAGTATATTGCATATTATTGAGTATACTATAACAATATATTGTATACTATAATAGTATACTGTTGCAGTATAACTATATACTCCTACAGTATATTATATACTCTAGCGGTATACTGTTAGGTAACTGTGTTGTTCTTCAATTATTACAATATACCGTTGCAGTACATTAACTGAGCCAAATCCTTGAAACAAGTAAGCAGAGCAAAAATATGAGCCAAGAGGTCAAAGGGCAGTCTATCAATTGGCGTTTCCTGATCGTCTACTTCTTCAACCTCCTTTCACTTCATGGAACCAAATTAAAAGAAAATCGCAAAAATAACAAAGGGCTTCAAAATTCAACACACACAAAAGAGAAAAATTCAAGAAGAAGAAAGTAGGAGTCGAAGTTGCGTAAGCTGTGGAACAGAAAAATAATAAAAATCTAACAAGTAGGAGAGAGAAAGAAGAAGATGAAAATAAAGTGTGGTCATCTTTTCGTCGTGTCATTCACACTTTGAATCAAATGCGAAGGCAAATAGCTGTGGGCCGGGTAAATAGTCTTGGTTGCATAGGTAGGAAAAGTAAATAATTTAGGTTTGGATATTTAAGAGTAAATAGTTTGGGCTTAATGGGAATAAAGTGAGATTTTCTCAATTAATGTATGGCCCATGGATCAACTGAAAGCCCAACAAAAGATGCGCAAAAAAGCCTAGTTACTGACTAACCAGGAGAAAGCTTTAAAATATTATTTATCTATTAATATATGGGAAATTTTCATAAAGCACTATCTTTTCGTAGTAATTAGTCATCTATAGATATCATTTGCTATATTACGGATTATAGATACCTTTTATGTGGTTATAAGATGTATTTGATGTATTTAAGCTATTGTATTCATGAATACAGTAGCAAAAATAGGCGTGAATCAGGGAAGTCCAGCTAATCAGTTGTTGTATTCAAGTGTATTCGACTGTATTCATGGAGTGAAACATGGGATTACAACTGGACAGATTATTGTATTCGACTGTATTCGGCTGTATTCAAGGCGTGAAATAGGGGATTACACTATTTTTAAAACGGAAAGTGAATCAACTAACATAATAGACTCCTAATATAACTCAGCAAACTCAATTATAACACAGAAAATTTGTATTTTCAGTTATAAAAAAGATTTTCAACCAAAAAATACCCCAAAAACACAGCAATCTTCAGAGAAATTATATAATACATCTGAATACATAAATTATATTAATTAAAAAAACTTATGAATACATTCATGGCATATAGCGAGATAGTGAATACGATGAAATACATAGAATACAGCGGAATACATTGAAATACAATGGAAAAAAAGACAGAGAATATAATAAAATACATGAAATACAACGAGATACATTGAATTACAATGGAAAAAAAAGACAATGAATACAATGAAAATCATGAAAAAAATAGCGTAATACGTTGAAATTACATTGAAATATATTAACAGAAATGCTCTTCTTCATCACGAAAGAAAGAAATCGTCATTTAGTGGATCTCCGAAACCGAATCCTCTTTCCACGACCGCCATCTCCTCGTTGGACTTAAAATTATGCGCAATATTCCTATGTTGAAGTTGATGAAAATCTCGAAAATTTTGAGTACTACTCAAACGATCAGAATCTTGAACTTCTTGTTTGCACCATAGCCTTTAGTATGCTCTCTAGTATGCTTTTTATTGCTGCAATGTCATAAGCTGCCGGCAACTCCTCTACTCCAGAAGAAGACAAAGCAAAAAGAATGAAAAAAAGTTGATTAGCTATAAAGGGAGGGGAAAGTGGGAAGGGATAGAAAGAAAATCGGTGGAAGGAGGAGGAGATCGAAAATTTTAATAGGATGGAGGAAGAGAATGGGATGTATCAAAGTAGAGAGAGAAAGAAAATAGTGTAACTGATTAGCGTATTTAGTGGCTTAGGGCTAGGAGGTAACCAAAATTAAATATTTTGCTATAAACCTTAAAAGGTATCTATAGAATATAATTTTTTTTAAATGGTATTTATTTAAAATAAATAAGGTGTTAACCTTTGCTATAGAAGGTAAAAATTCCTTAATATATCACATTATCACTATTCACCGTTGTTCCTGGGCTTGCCATGCCGAATACTGGCCGAAGCTTAGGTTGAACTTCTACATCATACCCATTAGTACGTTCTTTACCGGAACTCTGCATAAACGCAAATATCTTGTGTATCGGACGGCTTTCTTTTTTTTTTTTTTAGGCTTAAAATTCCATTTGATAGTTAAATACTGAACTTAAAGGCCCGGGGTCAAAGTTAAAAATGCAAATCCCAAATGTTGAATTAACTTAATGACCAAAGAATGCGTAGCAAATGGCACTTAGTAGTAGAAGAAGAGAGTAGTATAGTATTACTCAATGGAACTAAGAAAAGGTTCAAGTTGCAGACTTGCAGTGTAGGCGCAATTACAACTCACTAGTAGAGAAATAATAATTAAAATGACCTACATACAAAGGAAAATAGGGAGTACGTTAAGAAGTGAAATAGAATGAGAGATCCATCTGACAAAATAATTATAAAGGTTAGATGCAGGAAGGAAAACTGCCAGAGTTGTGCAAAGCATGCATTTATTTGAGGTGTTTAAATGTTTAAACACATAATTAAGCTCAAGTGCTTCTTTGTTTCTTTTATTTCTTCCTTGAAGTTCCTTGTTTTAAGAGACGCTTTATTCGACAACTACTTCCTCTGTTTCACTTGTTAGTTATAGTTTGACATGTCTCAAAGTTTAATAAAAATAAAGAACTTTTAAAAAATTTAGTCTTAAATACGTCATAATATTTGTTTGAATATATATATATATATATATATATATATATATATATATATATATATATATATATATATATATATATTTTAAACTTATGGTCTTAGACATATCATAATATTTATATGACTATAAAAGCTTCTCATTAATTAGTAAAAGTATAGGCATGTATAGAAAATAATGTTATACAAAGTGCAACCAAAGAGAGTAGTATGGTACAACAGAAGTCAAAATCATGGTTACTATTTTTACGATACTAGTATGTAGTATATATTTCATTAGACTAATCAGCTGTTTGTCTAATCTTTCTAATTCCCTTGAAAAGATCAAACCAAAAGAAAATCATAAAGCTCAGAGTAAAAGGTTGCTTATTTCGAACTTTGAAAGGAACCTTTTACTCTGAGCTTTGAAAAACAGTCAATTTCTGCACTGTGAAAGGAACTTTTAATTTCAGTTATTCAAATGAATTCTTTTACGAATAGTCTTATTAACTACTCGATATCTGAATGTAATGTTTCAGAAAGTCTAGACTATAGACACTTTATTTCACAGTCTTGCCGTCATCACTATTATTTATGGCAAATGTATTTTTCTGAAACAAACCAAAGTCAATTAAATATATACTATATATTCCCAGAGAAAGTGATATATATATATATATATATATATATATATATATAGAAACTTCAAATGGACCAAGTCACAGGTAGTGGCTAATTTGGGACTCAGCATACCAGGTTGACTGACCAACATTTTCCAAAAAAGGAAAGTAAAGTACTAAGAAGAACAGCATACGACGTGACATGAAATAGAATACCAATTTCTAAAAAGACACGGAATTGAATCTCCAACTGAGTTTTATTTACTTGTCTTCATCTTCTTTAATTGATCTTGTATGTATTCTTATCATTATAAAACAGGAAGAAGAGATATTAAAGTACGTGAAATAGAGAGTATATATATCTTGAATCATCTATGTATTACATTGATTTGATGGACTACATAGACGACAAAAACAACCTGAATTTTTTTTACAATTACATCAATAATTGTCGGAAATCCCAACTTACTCGGCAATAAAAAGTCTGAAACATGACTTACATGACAAAATTATTGAAAATAATGAATAATGAATATTGAATGTGTTAGCTAGGAGCAAGTCCTTTGAGTCTTCCTAAAGGACTTTGGTTAAGAAAAGAATTAAACTAAGGAACAAATGAATAAATGTGAATTTATTAGAGTTGAACTCAGCGATATATAGATCCTCTTTTATTTATCATCGATCAATAGTTGTGTAAAAGTTGTTTTCGACGAATATATATTTTTCTGTGGATCAGCTTCTCTCTTTCTACCTCGTACAAGTTCTTCATTATTGCATCCGAAGCTTTCACCAGAAATTCCGACCAGTCCCTTCACAAAACAACATTACCCAGGTCAGATTATGTATAAATCTTGCTAAACAAATAATCATGCTGATCAAAAAAAAAAAAAAAAAAAACTCAAGCAAGAAAATTAAAAAATAAAATAAAAAATCGTGCTCAAACAAGTAGTAATGATTTAAGAAAGTTTCTAAGTACAAAACCAAACTGTGCCAAAATAGTTATCCTCCTTTCTTATTGGTTATGCCTACGAGTGTCTACTTTGTTTAAATGAAAAAAATGTACGTAGTAATTCCATTTTAATTATTACAAATTGTTGTAATGCTCTAGATAATTTGTTCTCTATTCTGTTTTTCTAGAATAAAAAAATTAAAATATGATGTCACATGTATCTCACTAAAGATTAAACAAATCATATTTTCAAATCTTCTCTTATACGGGGGTGATCAATTGTCCATAAGTAAACTATAATTAAGGGTGTAGCATAGTGGTTAATGAAGTGGACAGAAAAACACGATAGATTGGGGTTCAAATTTTAACGAGACAAAAAAAAATGCTAGGCCACCAGTATTTATGAAATAATCAAAATATGGGCAAACGAAAAAAATATAACGACGAATTTATAAAATGTGGCACGGATACTCACCCTTTTAAAGTATCAAATGTGAGTCCAACGGTGTATTTTGCCTCCTCAAGAGCCAAGTTAAACTTCTCCAAATCCTTATTCGGAAAATTAACATTCAAATCCTTAATAGCAAGTTCCGAAGGTTTTACATCACAAAAAACTGGTATAACTCTCTTCTTTGATTCCATCATCAGAGACAACTCATGCAAGCAAAAATAAGAATCACAATACTGAGGGGAGAAAATAGCCATCCCAATTTTACAATTGCGAATCGCCGGATCGATTTTATCGAACAATTTATCCCCTGGTTTCATGTTCTTACTGTCCAAAAATGGCTGCAGTCCAAGATTATTCTTAATATGCTCATACAACAAGCCTGCTACATTTCTTTTTGTGTCAATTCCTCTGTGGTTTATGAACACGTCGCATGGTGTCCGGTTTTTTGCCGGTTCGATTTGTCGCCTGAGCCGGAGAATTTGATTGCACACATTCTTGGCTGAAGAGGAAGTTATTGCTGAACGTTGCATGGCTCTTTCAAGAAGTTAAAATGACGTTTTGTGTTTTTTCTTGTCAAAAAGATTTTTTTTTTTTTGGGTGTTTTAGTAATTGGTGTTATTATATTTGTAAATTGAATATATGATATGACCTGTTCTCCTGTGCTATTTATAAGGACTGGTGTAAATTTTGAAATGTGCACTTTACATTCTTATGTTTGATTTCTTAGGGTCTTGTCTTGTCTACTTTTCTACTACTAATAAAATTGGACCTCAAGGAAATACTAGTATTTGCTTTGACACTTAGACAAGAAGGACGAAAAGAGTAAAAGCGTTTGAATGTTTTGACTCTCTAGGTTTTATGGAGAGTTTAATCCTTCAAACACGTTTTTAGAGTTATTTTAATAAACCCTTTATACCATTTTTTGAGTTTGAGAATAATAATAAGACCTCTCTTGAATTATTTTAGCTTTCCTTTTCTATGAGATTGCTTCTGTTAAATTATCTGATTTTTGCATTTAGGAATACATTTAGGGAGGATACTGGTCAAAAGTGAGAAATTACCTAATTTTCTAAACATCAGATTGTCTGTAAAACTTTCTTTTCAATTTTAAGTTGAATTCGGATATGACTATTCAATATATGAGCAGCCAATATTTTACCACATTCTTCTTGTTTTACAGTCCACAATTCTTGGTGATTTTGTCTTATAACCGTTATGTTTAATTAGTTCATCAATTGGACATCAAATACCGTTATTTATAGTTACCTACTTTGAAACCTGCTGGAGCTCCTCGATCCTCCAAACTCCCTATGGAATTATTTGCTTCCATATGCTCTCAATGCGGCCATAGGGTCAAGCCACTAACTCCGGATTTTATGCTCCAAAATTTTGGGGGCCTCAATTTTTTTCCTAATTTCTACTTAATGTTTGGTATTTAATTTGGGGCATTGATTAATTCGAATTCGTATCAAATAAAATCCACTAAAGTGAGAATCGTTCCTTAGGATGCTCCAAATACTCCAACCAAATACCTCCGGTTAAAGAAGAGAGATCATATCCATCCTACCACAACTCTTTTCGTGAGGCCCCAAATCTTTTTAAGAAAATATAAGTATTTCAAAGTAGAAAGTTAAATGTTTTATATATATAAAAAAGCTAACATTTATCATTAGAAAATGAGCAATACACATTTAAACTGTATTTTTATTTCTTTTTTGTTTTTTCTCAAATTTTCATCATTGCAACAAGTATATTGAAACATCAAAGATTATTTTAATATAAAGTTATCGATTTCTTGAATCGGGTTCTATTACCTAATATCAATAGTGCCACAAGAGAGATTAAATAGTTTATGCGAAAAAATATTAAAAATTTTATTCTCAAAACGCTAGAAAAATTACTTCAAATATAAATATATAGAATTTTTTTTAGAAAAAAATAAGGCCTTCCATTAAAGTTAGTCTTTAGGCCACCAAACTTATTGAACCGCCCACTACTAGAAATTCGGTAATTACCGACCCAAAAAAGCGACCAACGTTGGCCGGTTTTGGCAAATTACCGACCAAAACTCGTCCAAACACGCTTGGTCACTATTTTGGTGGTCGTTTTAGTATACCGTCCAAGGTTGGTCGCTAATTACTGACCAAGGTTGGACGGCAAGGTAAAAAGGACCAACTGTGCAATTTAAAGCACATACCGACCAACTTTGGTCGATAACACATTTTAATAATTTAATTTTACCGACCAACTTTGGTCGATAACACATTTTAATAATTTAATTTTACCGACCAAATTTGGTCAGTATATTTAAATTACGTTATTTTATTAATTATTAAAATTTAAAAATTAGTGACCAAAGTTGGTCGGTAAAGTAAAATATATATTTTTTTAAAAAAATTAAAATTTAACCATACCGACCAAAGTTGGTCGGTAAAGTTGAAATCTGGGTAATCCTTGTTCATTAACCGACCAACTTTGGTCGGTAACTTTTAATTTTTATTTTTTTTAAAACTTAAGCAACCAAGGTTGGTTGCTAATCAGCAGATTTTTTTTTTAATTAGGAACCGACCAACTTTGGTCGATTTTCTGGGTTTTAATTTTGGCATAAAATGCCTGTTTTGGCCGCTACACCATCTGGCAGCATACCAAAATCCCTAAACAACAACAACAACAACAACACAATTCAATAAATACATTAAAACTAACAAACTAAAGTTCAATAGAACTAAAAAATCCAAAACCAAGTTAAAACTTATTACAACTAGTTCAAAACCGGTTCTATTTGTCTGGTTCAAAGTATATAAAAGTCAAGGAGTGTTTTGTACAACATCATCATCACCGTCTGATGAACTTTCATCTAAAAGATGGTGCCGAGAAGGGTCTTGTGGAGGACGAGAAGAACGACCACGGGGAGGACGGGAGAAACGATCATAGGGAGGACGGGAGGAACGATCACGGGGAGGACGAAAGGAACGCTCTCATTCAAGTCGAGCCTCTGGCGATGACTCACGAGACCGGGGCAACGGAAAAGCTCCAGTAGATAGGAGAGTTCTGATCTGAGCTTGCATGCCAAGGAACTGAGCATCTCTAACCCTTTCTCTTTCCTTGGCCGCTTCTAGCTCGGATGTGAGCTTTGTCACAGTCTCCTGCATAGCGAAGAGGCTCTCCCATCAATTTTCTCGCCTTGCGAGGAAGTCCTTATTCCTTGCATTCCACACTTATAGCGATGAAATTTCTTAGTAGGAAGTCCGTATACCTTCACCCATTTTGGACCGCCAGCAGACTCTATCCATATTCTTTCAGCATCCTTGTCCGAAGGTTGGGTTGGCTCGCCCGATTCACCAGCTGGCTGAGTGCGGATGAATTCCTCCATGTTAGTTTGGTAGCGACCCTATAAGAAAATTTAAATTGAATTAGTATTTCAAAATTTATATAAAAGTAAATTAAAATACTTAAAGAAAAAGTAAAAGCTTACATATACAGTCGAGGCCCGGTCCTCGACCCACTTTTCTTAATCCGTCTCTTTCTTCTTCTTTACAATATGCGTCTCCTTGAATAGCTCATCATGGTTCATTGGACGCCTCAACTTCTTTTCCTGAAAATAAATTAATTTAGTTAATAAAAAGAATAGATATACTTTGAAAATTAAAATAATTTAAGCAATTACATACCAATCTTCTTTTTACTGTCCCTAGGCTGATCGCACCTCCAGTGTGCAATGAGCCTCCCTTCTCAGATGCGCGAGCTTTCATTCCTTTTTCGCTCTTCTCTAAGAACTTTGCGGTAAGCCATTGCCTTTGCAAATCATCCCATAAATTTTGAAGTAACCAGTCAGGCTTCTTGTTCTTCTTTCTAGCTTCGGAGAAAGTATGCGTCAATCGCTTGCGAGCTTTGTGATGGAAATTTGCAGCCACTTCCGCGCTATAGCAGTGTTCCATACACACTTGCTCTGTATTTTAAAAGTTAAATATTATATGAAAATATCATAAATATAAATTATTAAACTGCTTAAAAGAACATTTATACCTTAAATTGATTGAAAATTTGCTCCTTCAGCGAGAATGGGAAATCAGTCCAAGTCGCATAAGGGCCATCATAAAGCTTTCTGATGGCTTTGGTGATTATCCTCGTAGTCTTATTACTCGGGATGAACCTGCAATTTAACAATAAAAACACATTAATATCTTAGTAAAAACTTTACAAAACAATAAACGCAAAAATAACAAATAACTCTTACCCATCACCCTCAGGGACTATGATGATCTTGCCATATCGATCATAATGCACCTCCTCGTCATCATCAGCATCATCGTCCGAATCATGTATATAATAGGCATGTGTGGATGGTGTAGGGGGGGTCAGAGCTACTACCTCGCAAGCGGAGGCCAGAAATAGATGGAGTCGATGATGAAGATGGCTGCGATCCCTGTGACTACGACATAGCTGGATGGACCCCAAGTGGCTGTGATACTGATGGCTGTGACCCGAGTGGCTGTGATCCATGTGGCTATGACATGGATAGATGTGATCCATGCGATGTAGATGGCTGCGATCCACGTGGTTGTGAGGCAGCTGGACTGTATGTCAGACGTATAGTCCTATGGCCCTGTGATGAAAGACCTGGTGTCTGCACGAAGGTGTAGGGCTCGTGGTGCTGTGGCAGCTCAGTATAGCCGTGGGGTGGAGGATAAGACATAGGCATAGGCATCTCTGAAGAGAGTGGAGCAGATAGAGTACTATTTTCTACCCTCCTATTTTCTTCCTAGCCTTTTCTCGACCCCGAGAACCAGTAGGGTCATTGTTACCTTGACCCTTGCCTGCCATCTGCATAATATAATACATATTTAGATTGAAACATATAAGAAACTAGCTGTAAAACGGGTGTTATTTAAAAAACCAACTTTTTAAAGCTCATCGACGTATTGTTCCTCGTCCGAGAATTCTTCGTCATCACTTGTTTGAGCTTCATCAGTTGATTCTTCATCCTCATTTTTTATAATTGTTACTTCATTTATATCAACTTCTTCCAATATGTGTTCAGGATGTTCCAAATCATTTTCTAGTTGATCGTCCACTATTTGGTGAACACTGAAGATATCATTTTGATATGCTACATCTAACACATTCTCGACTTCCACCCTACCTACAGGCTTAGTTTTTATTACAACCCACCAATTGGACTTATTCCGCCGCAATGGATAAGGAGCATAATACACTTGCCTAACATTATGTGCAATTATGAAAGGGTCATAGCGATCATACTCCCTCGTATGATTAACCTCAATTATGCAGTATTAGTTGTGTACTATTGTACCTCTTGTTGGATTTGGGTCAAACCACTTGCATCTAAAGAGTATCAATTTCTTATATGGCCAACTTGTATATTCTAATTCTATTATTTCTTTGAGCACACCATAATAATCAATATCTCCAACTTAGTTGCCATCACCACCTTGATCCCACACCCCGCTGTTTTTGCTATTTTGATTTTTAGAGCAATCCTCTGTATAGAACTTATAACCATTCACTATGTACTTAAACATTGCTGTGACCTCAAGCCCAGGTCCCCAAGATATATCTATCAAAAATTGATTTACACCATTATTTGGATCATTTACCTACATAGTGTTAAAAAAAATTCATAAGTTAGCTACATAGTGTTAGAATATTATCAGGATAAACTTACAAATTG